AAGACAAACCACACAAACAAAACAGACTCACAGACTCACACTGAGGGTTGCCAGATAGGAGGGGAGCTGGGGGGCTGGGTGAAAAGGTGAAGGGATTAAATATAAATTTCCAAGTATAAAGACAGCCATGGGGAGGTGAGTACAGCATCAGCTAGCACGAGCTGAGCCAGGGGCCAACAAAAATGAACAGGAAGTAGGGTCAGATGCCTCTTGAACAAGAGGAGAAAGGTGATTAAGGGACGGGGAATGCTGAGCAGACAGTGGTGGGAGAGAGCCCATCTCCAGCTCACCCACTATTTGGGGAAGTTTTGCGTGTAGTCCCCAGGAACCAGACCTACAGGCTCGGGACACCTGGATCTTCTGGTCAAACAGGCAATATGTATAGCAATTAAGGGCCGGCTTTGGGTTGGGCAGACTTGGAACCAAGTCCCAGCTCCACCACTTACCAATTGTGTACGTTCTTAAACTATAAGACAGAGGGAAAAGCAGCTTCTCGTTCACAGGGCGGCTCTCAGGACGAAGCGAGAAGGTGCAGGTATGTGTTTAATACTGTGTGTTTCGTCACACAAGCACTCACGTGTGGCCAGGACCTTCATAAAGCCTGGAGCCTACAAGGCCGACTTAGCGGTGGATAGACAGGGCCCATCAGCCAAAAATGGTGATTTTAAAAAAGTAAATCTCCTGTACTGAGGTTTTCTAAATTTTAGGTTATTGAGGAAATCGAAATACATTGTCCACAGCAGCAGTTATTAAAATTTTCTTGGAATAATATTGTAATAACTATGTATGGTGGCAGACTTATCCAAGTGATCACTTTCTAAGTTCTATTAATGTCTAACCACGATGCTGTACACCTGAATCTAATATAATATTGAATCTCATTTTCCTCCCCTCCCCTTGCTCTACCCACCAGATTCCCTGTACATTTCTCGCTACAAGTCTCCCAAGGAACTGCCAGCACCAGCCTGACTCACCTTCCCCCTCCCTAATCCTCTCTGAAAATACTAATTGAATTTATTGGGGTGACAGTGGTTAACAAAATGTCAACTGGATTAGCTATTTTTTAATCCTTTTTTATGGCCAAGTAGTATTCTGTTGTGTACATGTACCACAGCTTTTTTATCCACTCATCTACTGATGGACACTTGGGCTGCTTCCAAATCTTGGCGATTGTGAATACCTCTGCAGTGAACATAAGGGTGCATATATTCTTTCAAATTAGTGTTTGGGGTTACTTCAGATAGAATCCCAGAAGCGGAACTGCTGGGTCATTTTTAATTTATTGAGGAAACTCCATACTGCTGTCCACAGTGGCTGCCCCGGTCTGCACTCCCACCAGCGTGCACAAGCAGGTTCACTTCTCTCCACATCCTCACCAGCACCTGTTTGTGGCTTTA